CCTAAGGTGTAGTGACATTGACATGACTTATTGCAATCATCATCCTTAAAAAGAAGGTCCAATTATTCCCTCGATTGATGCCATTGCAATTTTATCGCTCTTGCCAGGGAGTGTATCAAGGAGGTTATTTGCAGAACATAATCTTCAAAACATAAACATAAAGTCCTGTGTCTGAGGTACATTCTGAATGCTGTTTGAATGCATTATATACATGAACACCAAAGTTATTACATTCCAAAATGTGTTCACTTTCTTTGCCCCACCCTATATATCAAGAATTCAAGTTACATCAGGCATCCAATTCTTAATTACAGCTGAGTCACTAACCTTACTTTGGAACATATGAGCCTCCTATGTTTTCTTCAGCCTATCCTTCTTTACCTCAGCTTCTGCCAAGAAGGAGGTTTTAGCCTGTTTTCCACATTTATTTCCACATGACTGCTTTTCTACATGCTGTTATTGTTGCAATTGTAGGGGACTGAAATCAAGCAAACAATAGCTGATGCTGAAAACTCTAATGGCTATTTGGGCACTTTCTGGCAAAATGTCCCTCTCTGTGATAGAGAAGACAAGTCCTTGCACTGACTCAAGGCCTAAACTTTACATATATGAGTGGTGTCTGAAAAGTTACCAGAAACATCTAATAATAACTAAACCATTGTTTTCATTGCTACCAAAACTGGTATACCAGTTGGGCAACACACCTCCGTTAGCCCTCAAAAGTATCACTGTTTCAATCTATACAATTCTGCCATCTGGAGGGCAATGACTTTATATCCTGTTTGTAGAAGCCTGTTTCTTGCTGTTGTAGCCATTTCTTGTCCTCACCACTGATGAAGTGTACTCCATAAAGTTGGTTCTTCAAGTGACCAAACTGACGATTGTCAGAGGGGATTATGATTGGGCTAAACGATGCATGGCTGGCAACAGTCTATGGAAGATTGACAATAACTTGCATTGTTTTGAACATCAGACACAGGGTTCTTCAGCAGGGGTATACAGTCATTGCCCTCCAGATGGCAAAGTGCATAGATTCAAACAGTGATTATTTTCACAGCCAGAGGAGGAGTGATGTTTCTGTGTACCAGTTTTGGTGGTGATGAAAACCATGGTTTAGTTTCTATTCAATGTTTCCATAACATTTTTGGACACCCCTGGTATCAGGGCCTTTTACTGTCCCTCTTGCCCTTAATCTGCATCATATGGAGAAATTGGAGTTTGCTTATTGAAATGGCTAAATCACCACATGTGATTAAAACCAGCATTGAATGAGCCAGTGTCAATTTTGGAAAATCCCCCAATGGAATTGCACAATAGGGGTTGGGTTGCCTGTTTCTGGCTCTATCTACAAGCTAAACTGGGTTTTCTAATTGCATTCTCAACCACTTGCAAAGTTTGACAAAGCCCCGAGTCATACAGAGTCTCTCGTTTGTGTAAAGGAAATCAGCTGCAATGCAACCAAGCTCAAACTTCATTTGATTAAAAGCTTACTCAGTTTCCAAATCCTTTGTTATACTGATTTTGTTTTTAAAAAAATGTGGATAATCTCAAAACCTATCCTCCAATCCAGCAAGATTTTAGCTGAAGATCCCTCCCTCGATCCCTCACTCCGAGGTGACTGAAGAGCTCGAACTCGAGTTAGTGCCGATTTGACCGGGGTACTCGGGCCCTTTTGATCATGGGTGCTCTGCAACTGGCCACCTTTCTCCCTAAAAAACATACAGAGGAAAAACGTTATAGTTAGAGGATCTTTTCGCTTCGATGGTCGTGAGTTTTCCCCAGAACTTGCAAGGTTTTATCTGGAAGTCAAGATCAGCCCATTGTCATTGAAAGTACTGTAAAGGGGTTGGACTGATTGTTTGGCTAACATTTCTATTGTCTTTTTTTTTATTATTAGTTTTTTTTGGAAATACACTTTTTTTTGTATTCTTGAATCACCCCTTAGTTACTCCCGCTCGAATTAGAATTGGCACGGACCTGATTTCCTGGAAGGGAATTCATTGTAGTGGAATCGGGGCGCATTAAGGTAAAGGTTTAATTTTAACCCTGTGGACCCTGAGCAAGATCCAGGGGGAAACATCTAGCAAACAAAGAGTGGGGAATAGAAAACTACATATATGGAGTCATCCTAGCCTAGCAAATCTACATCTTGCAGGTCCTAACAGATCATTCAGGGGAGGGTCAGTAGGACACTATCCTCTCAGCTGAAGGAAGATCAACCAGAATATCAACTCCTTCAAGATTATTCAATTCATCACAGAACTTGTCTCAATTTTAATACCCCTTCCGTAGACTTATAAATCACTATCAGTGAGGGACTCCAGATCTCCTTCCATCAGCAAGCAACAGCGGCTAAATACGAGGTGCGGCAGAGAAGGTGAACACATTCTGAAATGTAATAACTTTGGTGCTTATGTATATAATGCATCCAAAACAACACTCAGAATGTAGAACAGATACTGGAATGTATGTTATTTATATTTTTGGCAATTATTTTCTACAAATAACCTCCTTGACAGTTAATACACTCCCTGGCACAAGCGATGGCATTATTCATGGTTGCAGAGTTCTTTAATTCCTGCATGGTACATGATCTGGTGACATACTAATTGACTTTAAAAAAGTCCCAGAGAAAATAGTCTGGTGCTGTCAGGTCCGATGACCTTGGTGGCCGTTCAATGCCACCAAAGCTACATACAAGATCTGGAGATGATGTATATACATATTACTGTCACTGTATTGCAATCATCATCCTCAATAAATAAGGTCCAATTATTCCCTCGATTGATGCCACTGCAATTTCATCGCTCGTGCCAGGGAGTGTATTAAGCATCATGGAGGTTATTTGCAGAACATAATCTTCAAAACATAAACATAAAATCCTGTATCTGAGGTACATTCTGAATGCTGTTTGAGCATGAACACCAAAGTTATTAGTTGCAAAGAGTTAACCAATAGAGATTCAAGGTGACCCATGGTGACCCAAGGCATTCCAAAGTGTCCTAGCTTGGTCACTCATTAGTTTTAGTAAATTCACATCGCCTAAGGAAAATGAGGCCGAAGTTTGATCGATTAGACAATTTGGGTAAATTGAGGTCCAGATGCCTCACCTGCAGTCATTCTGGATCATATTTAGTCACCCTATCTCAATTTTAGCATTCCTCAGTCTCCCTAGAATAATTATGTCCAAGTAGGGTCCATAGAACATTTTGGGACGCCCCGGGTCACCTTGGATCACTTTTGGTTAACTCTGGCTACTATTAAATAGTGCTATTCACGGCAGGTCACCATTGGGCGAAATGGGACACCATGGGTTGAATTGGCTCACCGTGGGCTGAAATGGGTCAAAATGTGCAAATGTGGGTCAAATGTGTCCCTGCTTCTTTTTTTTTTTTAAGTACAGGGTCATAAGAAAAAGTTGCTCCAGTTTTCATCACTTATATTTCCTGAACTATATTGCCAACAACCTCATATGTGGTGTCATTCAACACGTTGGGCTTGGGAGTTTTGTATCGTACTATGCAGTCCTAGTGCTAATTTCGAGAAACAGTAGCAACTAAGCTAGCGTATATCACAGAGCAGCGGGTGTTTATGGTGAACAAGTTTTATCAATCTGGCAGCGTTATTAAAGTGCAGTGGTTCTCGAAGTTAATTTTGACGTAGGGACACTCCAAGTACATCTGCAATAAACAGGTCAGTAACAAAAATCGTAAATACTGGAAATGTGAAGAACAATAAAAAGGGATATCACAGTCGCTTCCAATGTGGATGTTCAAGAACACCGTACTCTTCTGAACTTAATACTTGTGATTGCCTTTTATGGGGACTTTTAAAGGTTAATGCCTGGAGGAATAACTCACATTCGGTCGAAGAACTGAAGGCGGAAATCAGAACTGTCGTGGAAAGCATTAATCAGCATATACTTTTCGCTGTTATCGTTGACCTCGGTGAACACCTGCAGCGGATCATGGATGCTAGAGGCTCCCACATTCAAAATTTGTTTTCATAATTAAAAACTCCTAAACATCCCGTGTTTTTGCAATCTATAATTCTAGATTCTATGAGTATTATTTTAGAAAATACTCATGATGAAAACTAAATCGTCTCTTTCTGATGACCCTGTATATATCACCCTCAGATAATTCGGCCCATATTCAGTCAATTGGACAATTTAGGCCACTTCTTGTCACTATTGGTCAGCTACTTTTATTTTGGGCTTCTTGGACCAGACTTTCAGATTAAGGGAACTCAGGAGTTTCAGAATCAACTTAGACTAGCTTTTAGGTTTCAGACAATCTAGGCTTGATATTATCCCCAAGTTATTTCCCTGTGATGCCTGACTTTTGAAATGCCCTGTATATATTAGATTTGTGTCAGAAGTCCGTTTTTCAGTATCATCGTAATTTTTAGATATTCAAATTTGAAATTAAGAAAATAAAACTTACAAGACCTCAAGCCTGAAAATAAGGTGTCCCACCCGTAACCAAATTTGTTTGCTGTTGGGACACTTATGTATCACTGTCACATTGCCCTGCTTATTCCCATTCATCTGCCAATTTTTTTTTAAAGAATGTTTGTCCCTGTCAATAAAAATAGCCTTAATAATGAGCATTGATTCATATCTGAATCTGCATGAGGACTGCAAGTAGGTTTGATCAAAATATTTGTCCCACCTGTAAAACTTCTAAGCCAGTATTTGAAAACCGTATTGTGAAACGTTAAACTCTCTAATCACATCTTTCAACTCCTGACATGACCACACCATACATGATGAACTTAGCCATATCGTAATGGTGTCCAATGTTATGAAAAGAAATGAGGACTAAATGTAGCTTCGTATGTAGCTGAATTCAAAAAGAAGTAAACAGAACAGTAACAGGATTTTTAAAGACAAGGTCCACTTTGGCAAATGGCTGGAGTTCATCAAAACAAAAACTCAGACCATTACCTTGTCGATCTCATATCCAGTTTCAATCAAGTTATAGATTTCATTCCAATTGGTGGAAAGGATTTATTTGAGACATGGAATTTCAATCAGTTCACTTGAAGTTGAACCTCACTCTCAGGATGTATTTCATCTTCAACTGCCATGGATCATACACCACATATTCGTTGTAATTGAGTGCGAGGTTTTCGAGTGCAGAAGGAATGCCAGGACCCATGGGGACTTGTGCACCACATGCCCTAATTAAACACAACAAATGTCTACCTGTTTCATAAGGAAGACAGGAAAGGGCATAGAGCAGAAGGGAGAGACACACCAAAATGTATTGGTCACCTTCAAAGATGTCACAATTCTATAGTTTCTTCAATCACTATCAATAAATGCGGTAGCCCCTATTACCTGCATTCATCCCATTCCCATAATAAAATCCAACCTTCTCTCATTCCTCTCTGAAAACATAAGCAGGAATTCTATTGGACGTGTTTCTCTTTAAACACTAAATTGCTCCAATAAATTCGAAGCTCGAACTCTTCAGGGTTGTGGAGAACACTGAATCTCGCTTTTCGAAAACTTGAACTTTATTGTTTTATTCTTTTTTTTCTCCCCCCCCCCCCTCCTAACCCTTTCAATGGGTAGCTACTCCTGGACGTAGGGGGGGAGGGGGAGTTTGGAGGAATGAAATTAACTATGAGAAAGATATTGACTTGTGTACGTGGAAAAGTGCTCTTTTTTGTTGGCGGCACACCATTTCGCAAAAAAATTAAATTAGCTGGCATTTACATGTATTTAGGCTTAACGTGCTGGCAGTAGTCCCGTCCCCAGACTTGCCGGATACAGCGCTGAAATTATGCCATATTCATGAATGCTTCGGCCTTCGTATCAATGTCTGGATCTTTCTGTTCCTTAAAGGGAAATTTTTGTGCTGAATTCATGAGATGAGCTGAGATTGAAATGGTGGTTAGCAGTAGTCGATCGTTGTGGTGAAATATGGAGATATCTATCCTGACTTCATGAATTAAGAAGATGGCGCGCAACTTAGATGTCATTCCTTCTGGAGAGATTCTTTGTTCAGACCAAGTAGAGATGGTTCACAGAACTCCAGATGGGCTTAACGTTCCAAGTCCGCACTGAAATAGTTCATGAAATTCAAAACAGGAAACTAATCGGCCTAACATTACACGAACTATATTGTTATTAATAGTTCGTGAAAGTGCGAATAGGCATGCAACTGACCTAACGTTACACGTCCTCAACGAGATGTATCGAAGACTACGATTGACTCCTGTAGGCCTCATTGGCCCTATAGGCTAATGAAGTAATGTGAAAACTAATTTTCAATGGCTATCCTTTCTTCCAACCCCCCCCCCTCCCCCCGGTCTCTCTACGGGACTCATTAACGTTAGGCCTAGACCTAACCAACAGACTGCCTTCAAGTCACGCCAAGGCCTACTTTTTTTCTTTTCAAAAGGAACTCAATTCCCGACTTACGGCGCCAATTAGGCCTATAAGGGTGAATTGTAGTCTGCGAGACATCTGGTTGAGGACGTGTAACGTTAGGCCAATCGCAGGTCTATTCATACGTTCATGAACCATTTCAGAGTGGACGTGTAACGTTAGACCGATTGGAGGCCTTTTTCGCGTTTTATAACCATTTCAGTGGGACGTGGAACGTTAGGCCTGTTCAGCCGACTCGTGTCCCTGTGCCGTGAGATATCCCTTGGCGCAGAGAGATGTCCGCCACAATTCGCCGCTGAGAGGCGTCCCCTCTCTCCTTGACTGCCGACTCGTGTCCCTGCTAGCCTAACTTTGCCGAGCCATGACCTGCGTTAGAGTGGCGGTAGGACTAGATTCTTGGGGATTTCTCCATAGCAACTAACGGCTGGTAATGAGACATACATACGACTCCAGAAACATCCAATCATAACCTCATGTAGGACAGAACTGCCGAGAGGTGGCCTGGCTCCTTGCTGTCGCCGACTTGTGTCCAGGGCATCTGACGGCAGTGCCGAGGGATATCCCTCGGCAGGGACACGAAACAGATAATCCAGACGCCAATACGAATGTTGAAACAGTCTTGAATCTCGCATTATTTCGCCACGGTATCCAGCAACACAGGGGGACAGTACCGGAGCAAGCACTCTAAGCCTAATTGAAGGACAGCTTATTTCATTTTTTTTAAATGGCGAAATGGAGCATCGCAAACAATAAAAAAAAGAGCACTTTTCGTCATCTACGAGTCAATATCTTACTTATGGTTGGTCTCTTTCCTCCGAAAACCCCCCTGGAGTGGCTACCCAGGGGGAAAGAGGTACAGAAAACGGAATGAAATTCACATCCTCCAAAAATGAGATTCAGCGTTCTCCACAACCCCGGGGAGATGGAGCTTCAAATTTGCTGGAGCGATTCTGTGGTTGTGAGTGGAAGAGGTATGTTAAATTTCGTTCCTGTTGATGCCCTGAGAGGTTTACGAGGAGATTGAATTTTTGCGGCGGGAAGGGTTTGACGCCGTGCCTATAGATAATGAAGGACTCTAAGCCGTAATATTTCTGAAAGAAGAGGGAGAAAATTCTGTTAATGAGTCAGAGGCAAAACGATAGACGATAATAAAAGGAAATGTTCATGGGTTGACACAACATACGTGGTAAGTAGGTGATACCACGAACATTTCAGCAGAATTAGTCCTTTTCCAGAAAAAACTTTGGGAAATGACCTGCTCATGTGACACCAAGTAATTTCCTAAAGATATTTCTTAAATTTAGATATTTCCTAAAGATGCCTTCCATAGAGTTTCATCCGTAATCGTGTAAATTCGGGAACTTCTGGGTCATCTGGTGTCACATCCAATGTGTGCCGATGGTTTCCCAAAAATTTAGTTGAAATTTGTCATTCGAGACGTTGTTAGTAGTTTTCATTGAAATTCCTTGAATCACAATAATTGAAAAGGGTGTAAAGGGACAATAAACCTTTCAGTGCTGAGTTATATTCAGGACCGCGGTAGAGAGAATGATGGAAAAAGAGTATATTTGGGAGCCGCGATGAACGGGTTAAAATGACACCTCTTTCAGCATTTCGAGTTAATGAAAATTATGGAAATTTAAGTGATGACTTGATCAAAAATTTGTCATATTTTGCAACTCTCAACAGTTTTGCAAATTGGACCTTTTCGCATCTTTGCATTGGCAACACCTCAGAAAGTACTTGATCTAGAGAGCTACAATTTGGCATGGAATGGTTCTTCATCAGCCCCTACGAGCTCACCGAATATGATAATCGGACGGGGTTAGGTTTATGACTGCTGATTTGACATGGAATGACCCGAACATAAAGTGAGATTTCCGAGGAAATGCACATTTTCACAGGGCATTAGAGGATATCCTGGTTTACATGCTTTATGGCGAATATTTTTACAGCAAAGAAACGGAAACTTCTTAACAATTTTTACAATGTGAACTTGACATTTTGGATTCACTTCCTTCTCATAACTCTCAAGAGCCATGATTTGTTGAAGGTAAATTCCAGTTCGTGGTGAAGCCACTTTCCTGATATGCGAAAGAAACACGGAATGACCTTTAGATACGTTGGTGAGAGGCTCAGGAACTCACATGGTGATGGTGTGCTTTGGATCAGGAATGATCTTCCCAAGCCCTTTTACACTGTGGCAGTCCTTAGGAAGAGATTTTGGTAATTTGTTGTTGGCATCAACGAGTTCCAAAGAATTACCCAATGCAACTTCACAAAGCACTACCAAGCCAACGTTCTTGGATCTTGTAGGATAGCAATAATTTGCACTCTTGCTGGATGTGTCTGCAAAGTAGATCCCCTTTCCAAACTAAGGAGAAAGGGCATGGGTCAAATAATGTGAGGAAAGAATGGAAATGCTTCAACCTTGACAAATGAGTGTCTTGATTATTGGAGGACTTTCATGACATAGACAGCAAAGGCATACCATGAATCCTGTGCTGGGGGCTTCGGCAGGCGCAATTCGAAGGCCTTGACCAAGGATCCCAGACCAATTTGTGAGACGCGATCCATGCCAGAGAAGGACTCTGTTGCCAACATCATGGAACTTGGCTGTCTGCTCGTCCTTCTCGTACTCAAACAGATCCTCTAGGATCATTTCATACTGATTGTGTGTAACTGCATGAGTGCTCTGGAGATACTTCTCCACTATCTAAAGGAACCCAACATAGAAACATGGGAATCCAAATAAATTTCCAACCACAATTACTAAGGTCAGACTTATTAATGATGAATGTACATTATGCAGAACGCACATCAAGCCCTTCCAAATTGATATCACACAATCCCCAGATGTGTATATTTTTTCTCTAATGGCTCAAAGTAGGGGATCATGTGTATTTCAGAAATAAAATTCTCACCAAAATTGTTACATCGCTTATGGAAAAAGATTATCCTGACCTTTAAATCACATAAAGGCTACTTCTTCCCCCTTTTGCCTTTACCTCTCATATGCGCTATCTTGACGTATGTTCCATGAAGGAATAATATCTGAATGTAACTATTGCCAATGTTATGAGGTTGGTTATGTGATGACTTCACTTAAATAGCTGCCTCCACATCCTCATTGGACCAAGTCATTAAAGCAGTTCCCAATCTATCAGTTGTAAATCACTCCTGGGTTGATTTGGTTGTTTTTTGGGTCTCCTAGGGCCTATAACAAAAGAAAGAAGTGTGTAGCTTTTGTCACAAAAGCTTTTTTGTTGTTGCCTGCCTTATTTTCTATCAACCTTCCTTGTTGGTCACACTGTCTTAAAGATGTGAAATATTGGTTGCTCTTTCAAAAAGGTTGGAAACCACTTTGTTAACAGGTTTCTGTTCACCAGGATTCTCCTGACTTTCTGAAGATAGATGTCCGGTGGCAGTACGTTATTCGGGTTAATTTTTTAAATTTACGAATATGACTATGCGTGTTCGGATCTGTCGCGGCCTGTCTTCTGTCAGTCGTTCGCATCGGTATGCGGTATGCAGTATCGGTATGCGAAGATGGAGCAGAACGAGCTCCTGTTACAGCAGCGTTCCATCATCCGCTTCTTAACCTTTGAGTTAGGTAACAGTTTCTTGGACGGTCGAAGGTCGTCCTGCACTACAATCAAGAACAGTGCCAGTCTGTTTGAATTCTTTAAAAAAGATCACGAATTGCATTTTCACCAGGAGGGGCTTTTTTGGACACTCTCGCAAATTTTCTCCTTGTTGTTCTTGGAGTGTTGAATTTTCTCATTCAAAGCACAATTTGGACTCGATATTCTAGGGATAACATTTAATGACTTCACTGGACGTTGCCTCCAAGAAACATATTGCAACGAAATTAATCCTTCCTTTACTTAATGCTGCAAACAGTTTCCAAATCCAACAGCATACGTTATGATTACTGTATTTAAATTTAAAAGTCAGGTGACTTTCCGGACGCTTTGTATTTGGAAAAATTGAATCCACATATGCACTGAGGCATTCACATACCCTCGTAGATTGAAATATTAATTTATATTTACTTTCTCAATCCTGGGGAGAACATCGTTGGCAGAGGTCGTCAAACAATACGTTGTGAGGTACAGGATCGAATCAAAACCTCAGATAGCTCATTGGTGAAACGATGCCTGAACCGTTAGTACTCTTGGGGACAGCAGGGAAGAGGTGCTATGTGAGAAACGATGGCTAGAAACATTTTACGAGATAATTTTCATGTAAATATAGAAATACGGACCTGGAGGAGAAAGACTCCGTGAATTTAGGCAATGAACAAGGGACATGGATGCCCAAATCCAGCTTTCTAAATGTCAAATCATACCATTATTGGAATCATATCGCCAAATTAAGGAGGGCTTCCAGCAAATGAACTATATTCAATGCACCCCAAACAAATTCGTCAAGAGGCAGCTAGTTTATTTAAGATCTGGAAGCATGAAAAGGAAAACCTTGCACGGACTAGGAGAAAACTCGCCATACATTTGCTCCTTATGCAAAGAAAAGGAGACCGAGGTCCACATGATTTTCTGCTGCACTGTCTACCAAGACACATAGCTGAAATACCTCCCCCTAAACTTGAGGAAAGAAGCAAGGAATAGAAACGAAGAGGGCTGCATAGATCTCCTGAAGCTGCTCTTCCAGAAAAATTTCTACTGGAATGATTTTGCCCCGTTTATTGCCTATATCTTTCAACCTAGAGATAAATGAAACATTGAAAAAAATGCAGTGAAAAATTAATGTTTCCAATGCATGTGGCTACGTAAAGAAGCCAATAATAAATAAATTACTTACTTGCTACCTCAATCAATAAATGAATAGCATAGGGTTGGCATCAGAGGCACTTTTCATACTGTCTTCATTCCCTGGTACTTCAGTCTTCTCATGTGCTTTGCGGAGACAGACTGAACAAACGACTAAGTGTGGCTTCGCTAGCATAGCTATCCTGCACACTAAGGACTCAGTCCCATTGAAGCTTTTTGAGGACCAAGACACACATATGCAGAATAACTCATTCCAATAATGCAAGACATTTCCATGATATATTTCAATGTGATTATTTTGTCATCACTTCAACAAGACAAAAGGAAAATTCAGCTTAAAATGGCTAAATTGAAAGTGCTTTCACTAAAGGCACTCCCAGTAATAGCATATTACATGATGATATCCATGGCTGGTGAATCTAATTATAAGATGGCGGTTAGTTTAATCACTCCTTTCCAGAAGTGACAGGTGAATGCCTTCTGTGAAGTTCTTAACTACGAACTTCTAACACCTTTGTTGACCTTGACTTCGTATTCTGCCCACACATTACCCTAAAAGGGAAGGTGGTTGGTTGTTTTGCATTCTTCACATCGGGTAGAAGTATCAATCATTTGGGGCACCAGGGTGACAGAGGTGCTACAAGAGGCAGTGTCTTTCTCAGAAAGGCACTTTTCACTTTGTCCCATTCCAGGAGGTACTGAAGTTTCAGGTAGGGCAATTCCCTCTAGTCCATAAGTGAGTAGAGAGGTAATTTTGCTGGCGAGCAACTTTATTGTGGTCTTGATCTTCAGCAAGTAAATATAGGTGGGAATGTTGATTATTCTCAGTGCCATTTTACTTTGTCTCTACATGATTTGTGAAGGTTAGTGTAGTCTGAAGGGTGACACCCAAGTATTCATGCACTCTCTCCCAGCCAATGTGGTCATTGCCCAAAGTGAATGGTATATCGACCTAGGAGAGATACAGAATTGTATTGCCTTAGTTTTGGTCAAGTTCACAGTCATTCTGTTGTCATCAGTCCAGATATTGAGTGCTTCATTGATCTTATGCAGTTTCAACCAGATTGTGGAAAACATGACTTGGTCCTTGGCATACATTATGACGTTGACCGATGTGGCCGCTTGCCTCAGGGCTGCTGGGAGGCTACTAGCAAATATCATGAATAGGGTAGAACTTAGAAGTATGTCCTATGTTTGCTGGGGATTGGAAGTTCTCAGACCATTGTCCACCCTTATGTAGTTTTTCCACAAGACGTCATGAATGAGGCCAAGGATACACACTTCGTTTCCCTTATGTTTCAGCTCGTTGATCAGGATGCACCTGTTGACTGTGTTTAAAGGCCTTCTGAAAACCAACAAAAACAGCATTGAGAGTTTCTCTGGTCTTACTGAACTGGTTTGGCATTGAGTTGATATGAGTTTTTAGCCATGAGACATGCCAGCTTTCAGGGGGAAAGCTGAAACCTCAAAGTCATTGGAGACGTTCAACCAGTTGTTCATTCACGATGTAGTCTAATCCAGGTGTTTCCCTGTCAAACATCCATTGAAGCATTTTCTTCCAAATTTTGAGAGATCAAAACAACGCTGGTTTCCACAACAGTCATAACATGCACAATATAAAACATCAATTCGAAGAAGTGATCAAAGTGTCCAATTTTTACGAAAATTGGTTCCAATCAGAATTTGGTGGCTTGAGACTCGATGGGAGGAGGTCTGTGACGTGGATGGAGAATTCACTGTGCATTAAAATCAGGGATTTGAAAACCTATTTTGAAGGCTTTTTAAAAGAGGGATCAAACTTTAGAAAAATGTAATTAACTTAGACCAAACGAGAGATTTTCCAGCCAAAATAGGCCCAATCGAAGGATCTCATCCAGTACTTTCCAAGAAGGTGCATATGTGCATAGTTTGCTCCACTGGGAGTAAAGATACAGCGTCCAGAGACCAAATGGTTTACTTACCATACAAGGTAGGTTCAAAAAGTTTCAAGATCGGGTTTATTGCACGTGAATGGTGAGCGTTACGGTACTGTTGCTGTGTCACCTTCAAAGTATTGTCCCTGGCTGTCAACACACTTTTGCCAACGTCTGTAAATTTCCTCGAAACAGAACTGGAACCCATTTTTAGCGACCCCATTCAGTGCCGCCACCGCAGTTTCCTTCACCTTTTCCGCGGAGGAAAAACGGCGTTCCTTCAGGCGCTTCTCTCCACCTCCAATATCTTCCAGAGACTCACGGCCTTCTCGGAATCGTCGATGCCACTCAAACATTCGAGGACGTGAGATTATATTGTCCCCATCCGCCTGTCGCAGCATTCTAAAGGTCTCTGCAGCAGTTTCACCCAGTCTCATGCAAAATTTCACATTCGTACGCTGCTCGAAACGTGACATCTTCACAAGGTGAAAGCAGACCGCCAGCTGACAGCTGAAGAGTTGCATGTGGCGCAACCCAGTCACTGCCACGTGAGGTTCAGCCCATGCGCTCTTGATATGCACGAAGTATTGAACCCTAACTACACTCAGAAAAACTTATTTTTGGTACGCAACACAGCGCTTGGTCAGGGTGACCCGAGTCTCGAAACTTTTTGAACCTCGTAGTATTGAATATATCTCATGATTTCACAATTTGTACATGATAAATGAGCTAGTTTTGACTCTGAGTGGCTCCAGAACTGACCCAGTTTAAGATAATACATATCAAAATGAAAAACATCAACAGGAAACACAAGGACTAAAATCTTGACGATTTTAGGTTGAAATAATTCATGTTTGCCTGACCTTGTAATCCTGCTGTGAAGGATCCACGTGCTTCATGGTGCAACACAGGGATTTGTAACGTTGATCAGCTGGATGAAGCGAGGCATTCGGAATCGATGAGAACATGTCCAGAGCCAGCTGAATGTCTCCAAGGGCCTCAAGAAGTTCCAATTCTTTTCTCACCATTCCTGGTGTACGGATTACTGGTGGCACACTCATCCTGAATAAAGATGCCAATAAAATTTTCTGTTAACTCGTCAATGTCAGCATTAGGAGCGCCAGTTAATCGTTGGAAGCGGAGAAGGGTACCAAAACTACAGAAAACTACAGATGACATGGCTGACCCATTATGGGACAGGATGACAACATGAAGTTTCAATTGTCATGGCAATCATACATTGATTGAATGCCACTCATCTTAATCCTTTCATTGGCATTGGCATCTCCTGATGTCCTGAGATACCAATGCCTCCAGAAGGAGGGTGAATATTTAAATTACCAGTTGTGGCTCAAGCAGGCCCAGAATTGTGCTTCAGTTTTCCTAATCATGAGTAATGGAGTCAGGCGCAGCAGACAAAATGCCCAGACTCTTGTGGTTAAGCTTTGTGATATGTTCAACTTGCATAATGCTTACAAACTGGTCTTCAGTCAATGACGTTGGATGAATATACAGGGTGATTCAAAAGTCACCTACATTTTTTGTTTGTGCCATATATGGTATCAATCGATTTGTCTGCTCCTTCTAAGCAGTTTATTACAATATTAGTGTGGGGCGAAAGATACTTCGGGGGAAACGAGCGAAAAAGAGTCATAATTAGCGTAAAATTGATTGACTCTTGCGTCACCACACACCAAATCGACCAGAGGATGAGCTCAAACATTTTCGATTTTGACAAAAATCGCTATGCACGTAAAAGAATTGATTATAAGAAAGTAAATTCTAGATATTTTTAAAAATTGCTCTTCGATCTCGAGATGCATGCGAGTGTCACCTGCTTTTGACTCCTGGCGCCAATGTGGACTGGAATTGTGAGACTATATTTGCAATAACTTCTTTTCTATTTGAGATAGAAGCTTCGTTATGGTGTCATTTAAATTGTGAAACTCCGGACTTTGGATTGATCTTTGACATTATTCTCCGAAGCTAAAACAAGAACTTCCACTTAATCAAACAGTTTGATTAAGTTTAATGGCCGATATCTACACTTGACATAGTTGGAACTCATGATTCCAATACTTGATTCCAAGTGCATTCAATCCCCTTAATAACGATACAAATTTGATATTAACGCGCAATTGTTTCATGAGATATAATCACTTGACGGAAGGAATAGAATACAGTACAAAAGCGCACATTTCCTTGGTTCCAAGCGTAGCCATCTGTGTCCTGTGTGTGAAAGACGCTATCTTCCGAGATGGAAGGGAGGAAGGAGACTGATCAAACTCGAGTCCCTCTATAAGCGGACGACGTGCGAAGTCGCCAGATACATCGAAAGGAAGCAGAGACGACTCATTTCCATTCTGAGAGAGCGCGATGCCATAAAGAAATCCCACTCCATCCAGGGATATGCCACCCGCTTCCGAAACGCACTCCATCTCGATAACGACTGCGACACGACGGCAGACCAAATAAAAAGAGATGCTCGATGGAAGGAGAAACCGCTTCACGGCCAGCATCCCAAGATCATGGATAAACCATCGATCGACTCGGACTTCAGCTATAACTGGCTGAAGAAGGGACTGCTGAATGCCGAGACAGAGAGCAACATCCTAGCCATTCAGGACCAGTGCATCAGAACTCGTAACTACGAAAAGCACATCCTGAAGCTGGATGTGGAAGACCGTTGCAGATGCTGTCATGGACCACCCAACACGGTTCACCACCTCCTTAGTGCTTGCTCCGAACTAGCCCCGAGGGAGTACTTGCACAGGCACGACCAGGTGTGCAAATATGTGCACTGGTGTGTCTGCAAGCAAGCCGGCCTGGATGTCCCAGAGAAGTGGTACGAACACCAGCCATAGTCTGTAGTGGAGAACTCCTCCACCAATGTACTGTAGGACATGCCCATAATTGCAGACCGCACTATAGGCTATAATAGGCCGGACCTCACGATCTATAAGAAGGTGAAGAAGACCGCCCTCCTCGAAGATGTGAGCATCCCAGCTGATAATAACCTCCAAGAGAAGACCAGGGAGAAGCTGGAGAAATACTCCGAACTGAAAGTGGAAGTAGAGCGGTTGTGCGGAATGAAGACCACCACCGTTCCGATTATCATCGGGACAACTGGCGTCGTCCTGAAAGACCTCAAGGGACATGTCAGGAAGATGGAGTGTGAAATCTCACTCGATATCCACCAGCGTACAGCAATCTTGGGCACGGCCAAAATCCTCCGCCGTGTCCTTTAGAATTAGGCGAGTATGAGGTCTGGGATGTGGCTCATCCCCCCTCATACCTCCAATACCCGCAGTCTCCGAGGAAGGATTTTTTATTTTTTATTTTTTTTTTATATACGAGGGTAAATAAAAAATTAAAGGCAATTTATTTTTTTAATTTATTCTATAAATGGAAAGAGTACAAAGGTTTAGCATTATTTTTCAATGTAGTCCCCTCGCTTCTCCAAACACTTGTTACATCGTTCCAAAAACTTATTGATGCCGTCTGAGAAGAACATTTTTGGTTATCCCTGAAGCCAAGTTATGCACCGCTATTACCACGTCATCATTTGAAAATCGACGTTCACGTAACGCTTTCTTCAGAGGTGCAAAAAGGTGACAGTCAAAGGAGCGAAGTTTGGACTGTAGGGTGGGTGAGGAAGAAGTTCAAATATAAGTTTCTGAATAATTTTGACGGTTGCAGCAGCTGAATGAGCTCGAGCATTGTGATGCAAAACAACACATTCTCACAGCAATCCTCTGCGTTTACTGCGAATAGCAGGTTTCAGTTTCTGTTCAGGGCATTGAACTTCAAAGCTCAATCCCCCCTTTGACTTTTTGAAGTTAGCACTTCAAAAAGTCAAAGGTGGTTAGGTCAGGGGATCTTAAAGCCCAAATTTCATTTCGCAAACTTTGTGTGAGATTATCTACTGAGAATTTCCAGAACCGTTGGATTGGCCGAGGATCAAATATAATGTTGGCTTCTGGGTAACCTGACATAACCCCCTTGGTTTTTTTTTAATGGGGTACTATAAGTCAAAGGTTTACAGCACAAAGGTTCTTAATGTTGAAGATTTAAGAGATCGTATCTATGCTGCTGTTAACACTCTAACCCCTGACATGCTGAGCATCCTGAATGTTCAGGGAAACAACGGATCGATTGCAATTATGTATCAATTTGAAAGGTGGTCATGTGGAACTTTTGTATTAAATAATGTCAATAACTGATTTTTTTATTTACCGTCACCAGTTTTACTTAATTCTTAATTGACAATGTGAAGTGCACATTATGCTTTTTCAGAATTTTGAGTTTATCGATAAAATAGATTGTGACTTTACAATCGCCCTGTATAGATATTTTAGGAGTCTCATGAGACATGCAGGAGACATGTACTGGTACATATCAACAGGATTGAGATCTCTCTATCTCAAGAAGTAGCTGTTAAGCCACGGCTAATGGATGAGTTACACATACTCTCACAACACAAAACATTGATCACCCATTTGCAGAGGCAAGACCTTCAATTCAGTAGCTTGTATGGAATATCTATTACCAAAAGTTTGTGATCATAGGTAGGGGTAGGGAGGTAGATCCTCATCAAAACTAATAGTTTTGCCTCCCTGGAAATTTCAGTTTGGCAAATGCAGTTCACCAGAGTTCCCATAAAATTATAAAAGTCCCACAGTTGCAACTGTCCTTCAGAACTTCCATAGTTCATGTGGCCGCAGAGAGCATATTGTTTGATGTATTGTATTAAATAATAATATAAGTAAGAAATATTGTGTAAATAAAGTAAAAATGGGGAAGGCAATGCACTCATGTACATGATTTCAAAGGAAAATGTTCATGGATAGTCAATGCAGTTCCCATTGGTAGTACAAGGTGTGTCCCAAAAGTATCCGAACTTTTTCTATACAGATAGTATTAGTGGCGCCATTTGTTGAAAGAAGGTGGCGTTCTATTGGTTGAACCTTCATGTACTACTCTGTTGAGTTTGGTTGGGATAAGACGAATGAGTCTTTGCCTAGGGCGCCAAAAGTAACAGTACCCTTATGACACTTCGTCGAGAAATCACCATGGAGCAGAGAGCTAACATCAAACTCTGTGTAAAATTGGGGAAAACATTTACGGAGACGCTCGAGATGTTGCGGAAGGCTTGTGGGGAACAAGCACTATCACGTACAACAGTTTACGAGTGGTATGCAAAGTTTCGGAATGGTAGAGAATCGTTGGAAGACGATGAACGCAGCGGGCGCCCTTTGACCAGTCGAACGGACGAAGCAGTGGAAAAAGTGCGTGATTTGATCAA